TTAACTCTCACAAAACTGGCCTTGGTCTCCCTGGATATGATGTTCCTATATACGCATCTCTCGATGTGAACATCAGTTTGGTTTCAGACTCTCGCATTCTTTCTCAGACAAGAGCCTGGTTCTGACTAACATCATCATGAATTAATTTAGTTTACTCAATCAATTTTATATATTTTCTATTTGGTTGCCAGAAACTCTTCTAATTTCCAAATTGGAAGAAAAAAATCAACAGCACTTTTGTCATAACTACTGATCCTGTTTCCACATTCAGTCATTATACAATAAAGAATAATTCAGCTCATAGCTTTGACAAAATGCAAATCAATGTGCTGTTATGAAATGTCTCCTAAATTCCTAAATTAAAGAAGCTTTTTAACTTCAACAAACTTGTTTTCGCAAAATTTCACACACCACTGCAGTCGTTCAGATCATAAGAAAGTAACAAACCAAGGCTGCAGACCACTAATGCTTTTAGATTTGAGCCACAGTCTGAATGGATAGAAGTTTAACTAAATTAAATTAACAAATTTAGGATCCTTTAAGTTCTTTTGAAGTAATTTTCCAGAAAAACAAAAACAAAAAAAAACTCCAGGTTGAAGTTCATATCGCCACAGTGTGTCTCTTCCCTTCCAAATCTACAGTATTTTTTTGGTTTCAAGAAAGAATTGTAAGAAAATGTATGACCTACACATAAACTAAAATATTTTATAAAGCTAATTATATAACAAACAGACTTTATATGTCATGGTTCCCATTTATGAAAAAGAGTTACAATAAAGAATTCTATTGTGATTCTTCATAGCAGACATAAATTAAATTGTTCATGTTGATCTAATTTTCATTCTTCTTTCCCTGCTGACAGATTTTCTTTGAAATTTGCACAAACTCTTTATATTGAACTCTCTTCCTCTTATAGACTTGAAATGTGCTGAACTACCAGAAGAGGTCAGTGCTGTTCTGTCAAAACACAACACTGCAATCCTTTGAGTGCTTTCTTTTTTCGCTGCTTTGTGCCCTTAAACTATAACTATTTCTGTTTTTTCTACAAAGATGGTTCTAATGATATATATTCAGTTACTACTGATGGAGGAAAAAACTATTTTCAGACTAACTATGACAATGACTATGTTAACTTGGTAAGCAAGGCCTCTTAGCAACAGGAACAAATTGATTACCTGATAGAAAATAACTTGAAACAGTGAAACAGTGAAGCATAAGCTGACATAGAAAAAAAATTTGGATAGGTAAGTTATCTATGAACAAAATATAAAGCAATCACTTTCTGTTTTTATAACCTCCTATAGCATCTAGTTTACAGTACTAACAATAATGTCTACAAACAAGAGCAACAAGTGCACATGCAGTTTTAGCTGCAGTGTTTTTTTAATTTTTTTTTATCTAAAGCAGCTCTAAAGCTAAAAAAAATATGTTAATTCACTTAAGCCTAAAGTAAAGCAGACATTGTTTGCAACTGATTTGGTAGATGTCTGTTAACATGTCCCAGCTTCACCAACAAGGTAACTGGAATTACCCTGAAGATCTCATTATTTCTTCCCTCCAGGGTCATCTAAGTTAAAACATTTATCCACAGCAGGTCCCAATGACACACTTTGAATGTTTGAATCAGTTTTTCAAAAGATATTTAATATTTGACTGGAGTTTCTACTTCAAATAAGCTTCTATAATGGTTCTAACACTTAATGCAAAACACAGAAGTCGTCGTTCTTTGTTTCTAAAGGTAGAAAGTTAAAACTAGATATTTACATATATTGTATACAAGAGAAAACAGTTTGCTTGATATATTAATTTGAATTAGGCTAAATGTTTACTATTTCATGGTACTTAAGATTAAAACAAATTATTTGCCAAAAGCAAGAATAATGAGTATTTTATTTGAAGTCATAGGTTTTCATACATTTATATTATAACTGGTATGACTTTATAAGATAAAAAAAAAAAGTCCAGATTGTGATGTTATGCTTTTCTTATTTATGTTTTAGATCCATAAAATAACAGATGGAGATTTATTTAAAGAAAATAGCTCAAACATACTAATCTATTGTATTACTATGCTGAAAATATAAAGGCATTAGTCTAAATATCAGGAAGGGATTGGGTGCAACCTTCAGCCTGGTTTTCCACTAGAGAACATGATGAAATCGATTATCGAGTAAAAAGACCAAATGATTGTCGGGTTAACCCAGCCCTGAGGAGTGGGTTCTCTATCCCATAGATGAACATGTAGTGTGAAATCAACCACAGAGCAAAGGAAAAACATATTGTGAAGCATTATTGGCTTTTGAAGCAGGAAATAAGACTTTATTATCCACAGTAAGATGAGTTTTGTACAAGTTTGGGCTGAAAGGCCACTTAAAAATTACAGTATCAGTCCACAGTCAACATTTAAAAAGATCGGTTCAAGTTTGTCTAATTTACCCAGGGGAAAAAGAATAACTTCACACAAAAGTTACAGAATTAAAGTGAGTGCTGAAAATAGTATTTCGAGGCACAGTCTGGAAACTTAGAGAAAACCGAACCAACTGTGAAGAGAAGCGATAGCAGCTTCATGCAGTATAAGTGTTTGCTGCAGGAAGGACTGGTTGAAATACAACATTGTTGTTTGTTTTCTTCCTTATGGTTAATGTCAACAAGCTTTGCTTGAGTGGTTTAAAGACAACAAACTGGATACTATGGAGTGGCCATAACAAATCCTTGAACGATGCAATGAAGATTGCAGAATGAGCTGTAAAGGTCTCAAAGAAACGGGTCTTTTTATGCAGTTTCTGAGTGTGCAGGCTAATACACTGGTTTGATTTATTGTTTAGGTCGGCTTCAAACTATCATGAGCAGACAAACTTAAAACACTACAGTAGGTTATGTCTAGTGTTTTAGTTGCTCTTTGCTCGATTCTTGCCAGGGGATCTCTAAAAACTGCTCATACAGTAGAGCAAGTCTCTGAAGCAGCCAATATGGCCGCTCTTTGAATAATAATGATAGTATGGTTTTGAAAAGGCAAAGCATGCTTTTAATTCAAGGGAAAAAGGCAATCAATTGTTTACAGAGGAATGCTCATAGAATTAGTCCAAAAGTCATAAACCGACTAAATAGCCAAACAAAATCTATATAGGTCTAGCTGATATGAAATCCAAAACAGGACTACTTGGGATCAAATTGGGACAAGTGTGAAATTTTACTATATAGTTTTTTTTTTTACTATATACTTTGTTTATACTTTCTATAATTTTACCTATGTTTTTGTTGTTGTTGTTGTTTTTTATGTTGAAAGGTATTTTGAACCACAAGGAACTTATATTTAAGTGGTTTTCGTGAGTAGCTTTAATTATTTCTGCAGTGAAGAAGAGAAAAAAATACTTAAACAAAAGAGGGTTAATAAAAATCCAAAGCTTCTTGGTAAATCTACAGCATACAGCACAGATTTAAATAGAATATAGATTAGCTAGTCTCTCATAGTCTTCAACAATAAATATTTGTTATTTGACCTTTTCCAGTCATCTGAAAATGTGATTATTAGACACATAAGATTAGGCATCTCTATGCAACATTTGAAAAGAAAAGCCAAATGAAACCACTCTTCCTTTCAAGATTGCTCTAAATGGCTTCATAAACCATTATCAAGTATCCTCTTTCCTGATCTAACATTGTCTGAACCAGACTAAAATAGACTGAAGTATTCATCCAGAACTTATATTAAATCCATCACAAAATCAAATCTGCTTGGGCTGAACATTTTTCTTTAAGAAAAATGACACTAAATGATAACTGCATTAACACCTGCTAGAGACAAGTTCCTAAAAAGGGATGAAACATCGCCTCATGATTGTGATTACCATGATAAATAAATTAAAAAAAACACACAATTCCTAAAGTACAAATTAGGAATGTCTCTTTAAGGAGTGTGAGTGGTGTATATCAGTGTGTACCTTAGGCTTTATGACCAGAGCCACTAATCAGATTCAATTTCTGCCAGAGGTTTGAAAAAGACCAGATCTGGACCATTGCCTGTCTACATGACATTTTGCAAAAAACAGATCTCCTACTCCTGCAGTCGCTTTACTTATCGCTTGCGTGGGAGTTTTATTGTCCGTATATTCATTTCACACACAGCTCCACTGTGTTCTTTAAAGCTTTTACTATTTTACTATATTAAGCTTTTATTTATTTTTTGTTCATAAAAAGGCGACTGTTCCAATATCTTAGAGATTCCCCTGTGGAGTAATTTGTTATGTAACCAAAAGGCTGAGCAGCAGCTCCTCTGTGACGTTATGAGTGTGAGACCTCAGGGGCAAATTTCCCCACTGTGGCTGCATACTTGAGCCATCCAAAACCATGTGAGTGAGTGTGTTTGCACATCTAAGCATGTCGACTGTATGTGTGTTACTGAATGACTTCTTTGATGTTTCCCATCCCTCCAGACAAAACGTCAATAGCTTCAAAGAGCCTCATCCTATGCGTGACGGTGTAGGGTTTTGTGTGCATTACTCAAAAGTAAAGATGCCAGTTTTAGTTTCAAAAAATGCACAAAATATACAGCCAAACTAACAGGAAAACAATTAATTCTCAACATTTTTAAACCCCCCTTTCTTCCTTTCAACATCTTATGCTTATGTGTGTATTTCCACACTACCACAGCTACGCATTTTATTACTGACATTTATCAGAAGAGGACGATCATGCTCCCTCGCTCTCCCCTCTGTATCAGCTACATCTTTCCTTTCTCTTAGCTCCTCACTCCCCTAATCTTGGTCTCCTTCATTCCAGCCCTCTGGAGAAGACAGCGAGCAGAACAAGGTCAACTGCAGATGGAAGGGCTTCGAAGAAAGAGTTTCACTCTCCAGAGATTAAAGATGAAGTTGACTCAACTTTATCTTCTTTCAATTGATGCAGAGTTCATTTGCAGACCTCTCTATTACTCTACTGTTGCACTCTTATCACTCAAACACTTTTTAAAAACTTATACTTGTATAAAATATGGCACATACCTTTGTTTAGAGTCCCAGTGACCAGTTTGTGAAGAGTCAGAGCAAACTTGATGAGACCTTGCTTGCAGCGTTTGGCACACCCCGTCATCCTGTCCGACCCAAGACACAGCTGGCTGAGCAGGGCCAGACTAGGACAGGGGTCTCCAGGTGCACCAACAACGGCTGCAGCAGCAGCAGAGCCTGCACAACTCCCCAGTGGAGCAGCTTTTGAATCGAACGCTGACGAGGGAGGCAGAGAAAGACCGTTCCTCTCACTGAGCTGCAATTCCCACTGCGAGGCTGGAGGGGAGAAAAAGAAACTATGATCTCTTGCTGCTTTCCCTGCATTCCCTCCCCCGCTCCTCCTTCGTCTCCATCCCACCTCCTTAATGTGTCCAAATTAGTGCCTACTCAGGAGTAAAATGTGAAAGAAGGAAGAAACATGAGAGAAACAAGGAGATGTGTTGGTGAAATAGATTCAGTTTCAAATATAAAGTGTTCTTACTGTCAAGGTCTCTGCAAAAACTTCCTCTCAATCTTCAGCCAGCTGCTGGGAAGAAAGTAATGAAGCAATCTTCTGAACTCTTTTTGGTTTGTGCTCTCCTTTTCCTGCTCCTCCTCCTCTTTTCTTCCCTCCTGCTTATCAAATTCACTCTTTACTTAAGAGGGGAAGCAGTAATCCACTTTCAGCACCAGTGACAATGGACAGCTCCCACACTGGGAAGGAAGCACACTGAGCTCAATCTGTGGTTCAAATACAAACACACACACAGACCCACGCAGAGAGCCTAAACACTTCTTCAGCCTCTGCAGACTCAGAGCACACTGGGCTACTGTTTGCTCATCGGTTTATAATAATGAGCTGCAGTTAATACAAAGTAGTTTCACAACAAATATCAAAGGAGACTTTTCTCTTAACTACTGTGTATTAATTTCAGTATTATAAAGAGTAACTTTTTTACATTATAAAAAGTGAGATAATGCTTACAAAATTCCCCATTTGCTTTTTCTGTTTTATTTCACTACATTCATTAAGTTGCAGTTTTAAAGAGTAATTAAATCATTGAACTTTTAAACATTTGATATGTTCTTAAACATAATTTTCCCAGAGCTACTCAACACATTTATAAAGAGCTAATCCAATAGTAGGACTTTAAGCCAAATCTCATTGTAGGTCTGGGCTTTAACCTGGTCATGAAAACATATGTTTTAACTAAATCCTTGCAAATGAATGCATTTTTAAGACTGCTGTTGTGATGGATAGCAAACTTCTGCCCTCTGAAGCTTCTTCAAGTCTCAAACAGATGTTATTCTATTGTTAGTCATTGTTAAGCTCCATCCATCTCATTATCAAATTTGAGCAGCTTTCTTCTTTTTCCTGAAGAAAACCTCACAGCATGATGCATTCACCACCATGTGTTATCATTGGATGGATTTGGTAAACAAACAGGATTTTTAACATTGGCTTTAAAACCTCACTTCCTTAAACACCAGATTTGTGGAGCACAATAAACCATTTTAATACTCCTGCTAGATCGCCTAACACTGACTGATGACTAATCCCAAAGGGCTTTTTCAGGAGTCACATTTTTTTGCGAGTATTCCTTGTGACGTCTTTCTTTATCCAGAGGATGCTGTATGTTGTGTATCAGACCCCTGAGGCCTTCACAGAACAGCTGCATCTATTCTGTGACTAAATGAAACACATATGGAATCTGTTTAGTAACACAGTGACTTTTAAAGGCTGTTGACGTACTGGATTGTACAACATTTGAGAATAACAGAGAAAGGGGAATACAATAGACAGAAAAGTAAGGCATTTTCAATTATTTTTATTTTACCTCAAAATTATGTGTAAATGAATTAAATTTACTTTATTGGATGTATTAGAGGCAAAGGGGAAAGCTTTGAATGCTTTTGTAAGGCTGTTATCTATGTAACAGCAAAAGGGTCAAAATGAAAGTGTTCCTCCAGAACAAACCTTCTCTTAAAGCTGGCTGTTTAAAGCGTGCAACAGAAGCTTTTATTGACAAGCTAACTAACAATAAGCTAATTTTCGAAAGCTCATCATTTTAAAAATTTGAAAAATTCTCATCAAGTTATAACTAATTAACATGGCATTTAATTTGATCGGACCAAACAAATGTATAATGAGTGTACAAATTAGATTTTCATAGCTTGGTGCTTGTGTTTGTAGAGACACGTTTTAAAGTTTCATGGGATTATTTAGATCCAAATTGGAAAACCCTTAAACAATTAGCCCAACCACAACCCCATGTGGCAGAGTAAGCATGATTTATTAGACACTTAAGCATATTTATGGGAAAATGTACACACTATATTAGTCTTAATAACACTTTTTAATGGTAAACAGTGTTTTCCTCTCATAATACATATGATTTATACAAAGTAAGCCTCTAAAAATCACCATGTACTACATACTTTTTTTTTTATTTAGTCTAAATGTTATTCTTAACAATAATTAATACCCAGACTGTATTTTAAAAACTTGTTTATATAACACTTTCTTAGGAAATGAATCCTGCTCCATCCTTCCCATCTCCACTGAGTCTAATTCAAAACCTTGTTCACTGGATAGAGCAAAACTATCGCCTTCTGAAACTTTTTTGATCTAAAGTTCATCTAACTTATGCAATTGTGAAAATGTCAAATAAAGGAATTTAATGTTGCTGTCTTTGTTTGATGACCCAGTTCAACCCAGCGAGCTGCACTGGTTTGAACCTGGTGTGTTGAGGAGTGTCTAAAAAAACAGAAGCATCCCATTTTTCCTAAGATGGACAGCCCACTAAAATTTATACAGTTTTATCAGATGTGTTTGCTATTATTTCCTCTTCACCTTATTGATTTCTTTTTCTTTTAACTCATGTATGTACTTCTCTCTATCCCTGTCAGGGAGAGAGTCTGACCTTTATCAGGCCTCTGATAACTCCAGGGTTTACATTGTGCCGTCTTCATCATCTTCATCTGAAACTGGCACATAACTCAAGAGAGATGAAGGCTAAAACAGAGACGATATTATGGGAAAAAGGCATGGTGCTCATGAGAGAGAGGAAAAGAGAAAGAGGATTTGCACAGATAATCTTACAATGTTTTACCTAGGCTATATTTAGTTGTGAATCGTGCTTGGCTCCTGGACCCGTAGCTCTAATGAAAAATGCAGAACAAAATAGCACTATAATGGGAAAGTGAAGATGTGGAGAAATGGGGAAACAGATGCAAAGTGAGGGAGGAGAGAGGAGAGAGAGAGGCAAACAGTATAACAATAAACATGCAAATGGAAAGCATGAAAACAAGAAATGGAGAGAACTGATGGGGACAAGGTAAATGAGATGGAGAATTTGCTGAGGGGAGGAGGAGGAAAAGGAGGAGGGAGGCTCAGTTGAACTACGGTGGGATGGAAAACGGAGGGTTTCCCATCACCTCAGGGTTTTCTATGATCAGAAGTTACAGGCTGAGCAGGAACACAGATTGATATTTTCTCAGGAGTGTCTCGGTTCACACATCTTGAAAGCACCTGGAGCTTTAGCAAAGAGAAACATGACATGACAAGTCAAACAAGCAGATAATCTGTTGTATTATTATTTTTTTTTAAAGCACACCTCCTCTGTTTTGGCTATCAAGCATGTAGGAGATTACAGTGCGGGGGAATTTGCATAAACATGCTTCTCGATTACCGCCCCCATTGTTCGTGATTAATGAGATTAAGCTTGCCTTTGCAGGAACATTCAAGGATGTAATAGCAACTAATTGCTTGTCTATTTTCCACGAATTAGAAGTAGCTCTGTTTGATGTGTATTTGGGTATAGGCTTACTAATTTGTCCTCCCATTGGAGAGAGTGAGGACATGATATGGAACGTGGAAAATGAAGATGTGGAGAGAATCTGGAAGAAACATGAGTGCAAGAGATGAGAGACAAAAACTGTTTCCGAAAGATTGAATTTCACAATGCACGATGGTAATGAAGCTCAGACAAAACGCGAATTGCTGAAAAAATGGGTTATAGGGTAAGATAAAATTCATTTAATAAGCCTTTGAAGAAAGAAGATGAAAGTTTATAATGGAACAAGGCCCAAAAAAGGGGGTAAATAGAGAAAACAAAACATAGTTTGGTCACCATTACGTAGGAAAAGAGAAAAACAGAAGCTTTAGAACAGATAAGATGAAAACATAATAGATGATGTCCACACCATGGAGAAAATACGAGGCTAAAGAATGAGGTAGGCAGAGAAATGTGCAGGACAAAAACAGAAGAGATTGCTTTGAATGCTGTCAGAATTGAATCAGAGGCAGCCAGCTGTAAGCTCTGATATTGCTTTACCTCTAAATATATCATCTCTGAGATGGACTGGTAGGAGCAGCTGGCAGAGACGCAGAATAAAGGTTTTACATGTCCAAAATATTACACATGTATATACAAACTGAAGCATTTTCCTTCAGCTATAGTTATTTTCAACAGCAATGGTGACTCTTAGCATTAAAGATGTCTGCAGGGACTCCCAGGAGGGTCACACTGCTGCTGCAGTTGCTTGCAATGCAACAAAACCTAACAGCCTTCTAGCATCTAAAACCCATCTGCCCAGACACAACAGCAGAAGAAACCCACTTGTGGTGGAGCTGATCTCCCCCACCTCTACTCTCTGGCCCCCCAGCTCTTCGGGCGACAGTGATGGAGTGACAGCATCTCCTCGGGGTGAAATTACAACCTCAGCAATCCTTATTTCTCATCTGCTTCTCCTTTTCTAAAAAGCCCCCCTTTAACCCCGCTGGTGGTAACAGTCTGTCTGCATCAAGGCACACACAGAGTCTCCTGCAAGTTGGAGAGATATCCCCTGCAGGGCTGATTCACTTTCAAAGAAAGGCAGAGTGGCAGAACTTTTAGTATTATAACAGAATATTCTTACTGAAGCTGTGGTGTACTTACACCACCCGATCGAATCTTGTAAACATAGTTTTATTCCTAATACATTTTTATTTTTTTTGTGAAAAAAAAGGTACAGAGAATTCATAGTTTTTTTTTGTATGTATAAAAAAACAACAGCAAATTTTGTATAGGTGTTTTTAATCCCCTCTAATCGAAATTTGAAAAATCCTTCTATGTCCACTCCTGTATCAGAAAGCCATTGTTAAAGAAAATCAGAAAGTCTTGTTTAAAATTTGCACCCAATACAAAATTATCATATTTGCTTACATGCAAAACATTAGATCACCCAGAACACATGACCTGTATAGTGAAACAGATTGAATATAATAAAAATACAAAAAAAGACAACCCTAGAAAAAAACCTGTTCACTAACAGCGCATTGCCCCTCAGACGCTGATCTACAGTGGGTTGGTTTGAAAAAGGCACACCTATATGATAAAAGGGTCGCAATGTAAAAATAAATTGAATTTTTTTAGAAAGACTCTATGTTCACAGATGTTTCTAATATGTCTGACTTGGTTTTAGGTTTTGTGCAAAGACAACAATGTCATCCAGCATGTGTAAAGTTTGTGGAAACGTAAAACAAAATACTTGCAGGCGTTACTTCAACAAAATGTCATCTATGAAATAAAAGATGTAAGAATTCTTAATTATTAACCTAATTGTGTTTGTCTATCAGATAAAATCCCAATGAAATA